ATAAATACCTATATCCCACAGTAAAGCCTCTTTTAAAAGGAAAATCAAGGCCCTTACTTGAGCTCTACTACCAAAACCCAAAATATTCTTTAAAGTAGCTAAACTCCTGTATCCCTTGTTCCTTCAACCTTTCCCTAAAAATCTCCCGATGTTCACTATACCTAAACATTAAAATCACATGCTCAATTGTCTCCTGTTCCTGGCAACCATCACACTTCCCTGTCTCATGCTTCCCTATCATATTTAATGTGTTATTAAGTGTGCAATGTCCTAACCTGATTCTTGTTATAACAACTTCTTCTCTCTTATACTCTCCCTGTATTCTGGATTCACTTACTTTATTATGAATTTTATAAAAATGCCTCCCATTTTTTCCAGTATCCCACTCTCTTTGCCACTCCTGGTTTATTTGTCTCCATACCAAACTCCTCATATTTACTTAGTTTAACTCTCATTTCCACATTTCTTTTCTTTAGAGCCTCTTTTGCCAATCTATCCACTTTCTCATTTCCATTGATCCCCTCATGTGCTGGCACCCACAGAAACTGAACTTAACTGAACTGAAGAAGCGTTTGATGCTGCAGACGTGCTTTTCCGTGATTTTAAAAATAAAAGTGAGATTATGGCTGCTATAAAGACGTGCAGTTGTCCACCAGGATTGATCCTTTTTGTTCGAGCATACGTTTCTGTTTCTCTGTCAGGAGTTAAGTAAGGATTTTGTCTTTTCTTTTTTTKGTAGGTAAATATATGTTTAAGTAGATAGTTTTGTTTGACAATACTTTAAATTAAATAAAACTAACAACATACTACGTTCTGTTTTATTTACTTTAAAGAAGTGAGGAGTAGGGAGACGAAAAATTATGTTTTTTGATACTGAGACTGGACGAGTAGAGCTCGGCAAACTGCCGACTTCAAAAGTAGCTCTTGGTTCAAAAAAGGTTGGGCACCCCTGCTGTAGGTGGATGAAACTGTAGGTGGATGAAACTGTAGGTGGATGAAACTGTAGGTGGATGAAACTGTAGGTAGATGATACTGTAGGTAGATGATACTGTAGGTAGATGAAACTGTAGGTAGATGAAACTGTAGGTGGATGAAACTCTAGGTAGATGCATTAGTATCAGTATCATTGGTTCCAGCATTATTATCAGCATCATTATTTCCAGCATTAGTACCAGTATCATTATATCATTAGTTTCAGCATTAGTATCCGTATCATTAGGTCCAGCACTAGTATCAGTATCATCATCGTCATTAGTTCCAGCTCTAGTATCAGTATCATCATCATCATCATAATTTCCAGAATTAGTATCAGTATCAACATCAACATTAGTTTCTGCATTAGTATCAGTATCTGTTGTTCCAGCACTAGTATTAGTATCATCATTATCATTAGTTCCAGCACTAGTATCAGTATCGTGATTATCATTAGTTCCAGCACTAGTATCAGTGTCATCATTATCACTAGTTCCAGCATTAGTATCAGTATCATTAGTTCCAAACTTAGTATCAGTATCATCATCATCATCAGTTCCAGCATTAGTATCTGTTTCAATATCATCATTAGGTCCAGCACTAGTATCAGTATCATCATCATCATCATCATTAGTTCCAGCACTAGTATCAGTACCATCATCATCATCATCATTAGTTCCAGCACTAGTATCAGTATCATCATAGGTAGATGATGCTGTAGGTGGATGAAACTGTAGGTAGACGCATTAGTATCAGTATCATTAGTTCCAGAATTAGTATCAGTATCATTAGTTCCAGCACTATCAGTATCAACATCAACATTAGTTTCAGCATTAGTACTAGAGTTGAGTATAGTCCACCACTGGAATTAGGCTTACTCCCGTATAATGGTGAGCATGTGAATTTAACATGTAAACATTTAAATGTACCATGCAGTAAAACAAACAGGTTGTCCTATTCATTTGTTCCTTCTCCAGTTAGGCTGTTTAATCGAACGGCTGTACACAACCCTTATTTTTGCGACTTCACCACGGAGTGGTAAAATTTGTATGTGTAGCTTTTTGATTTGTTTGTTGAACAATGTAATATAATTAATGTTTTCTCCCACCTCTTCCTTTCTTCTGTATAAGTATTTGTGTGCAAGTAGGAATACGTGTGAACCTGGAAACTGCTGAAATGAATTGCCCTTGAGGATTAATAAAGTTGTCTAAATCTGAATCTGAACATATTCTTCCAGATCTGGCCACTAGGCAAGGGAAAGACATTGCACCCATTGGAAGTATCATCCTACAACATGACAAGATCCTTAAAAAGATTTAGTTGTAATGGGAAAACAGTTAAATGTTGAACTGTTATATAGTGATTAGGTGTGTGTTAACTAATCATATTGATTAAAGTACATTCTGTTTAAGCTCACTGTGAAATAATCCACTCAAAGCAGATCGCACATCAATTGAATCACAGTTTAATCATACAATAGATAAGTATGCTATTATTATTCATTATTCGCAATTCATTATTCTGTGTGGATAAAGTTGTTTTCCTTGATTTTTTCCATTATTGCTAGTAACTACCAATTTACCAACAATCCACGCATCAGTTTATAACTAAATAAATAGTATTATTGAGTCAAACATGTTCCAGATGTTCAGTTTCTACCTGTGTGGCCACAAAACGGTGCTGTTGCTCCAAATATGTTTGCGATTTAGACAGATTAGATGAATAATTTAAGTGATAATAGTTTTCAGGAAGTGTAAGATTTAATATTTCAAAAAAATCTTCCCCAATTTAAAAAAAAGTATCACTTTTTGATGAGAATGATTAAAAACGTAGCTAAATTATAAATAAAGAAAATCTCAGGTTCTGGGTCTGATCTGAGAAAAAACAACTACAAAGTAAAATAAAAACCAATACAATAATAGCGACGCATTAACAAGTTTTATTGATTTGAGTGAAAGTGAGCTCATGGATTGTTGTTTTGCTGTGTATTTTTTTGTCAAACTGTTACAGCAACGAATACAACAAATTGCTTAAAGCAATCTTGCACTGTATGTTTTCTGTAATTACATCTCCTGCCCTTACAACAAGATAATTATGACATCTGCCTCAACTCTCTGTTCGACACTGACCCCAGTAGTTCTTTTGTTGCAAACACACAGAAATCAGGCTCAGAATAATTAGATCCCCGCTGCTTTACACAGTCATGTCAAACTTGTCAGCAATACATGTTTCCTGTAAAATAACTTCTGTTCTTCTCTATTCTGCTGTTTAAACCCCACAAAGGCCTGTTTTGTTTATTTGAAACAGTTTCACTTACCTGATCGTTTGTTCCATTTATTTAAAGCCTTATTCTTACAACTCCAGGTGCACTGGCGTCAGAACACAAGTCCAAAATAGAACACCACAAAATATTTAATCAATGCTCAAAAGTAAAACTCACTACAACTCATTAAATCTTGGAGTCAAATCAACAGAAGATGGTTGTCAAAGCTTGTTGACTTCACAAAGCAAAAAAAATGGGTTTAAATCAGTCAGTTTTGCAAATGATCACAAGTGTTTTGTTTAAAACGTTATGTAAGGCAGTGAGTGACATGGAAGCAAATAAAATGAAAATGCAAGTTTACATAAGCCATAGTTATTGTAAAAATGCAGAAGAAATATTAAAATGTCAGTTTGTAGGGACTGGATCTATGAATGCAGACAAACACATACAGCTAAAAAAAAACATACGGAAACATAAGAAAACAAATATGGCTGTCAGGACAGAAACAACGTGAGACCTGGAGGACAACTTTACAAGGAGACATTAAAGGAGATATGAAGGAGACAAGAAGGAGGCGTAAAATGAGGATGCATCCTGACGTGCTGCTCTATGTTCCTCCTGTATGTTTTATGAAATGATAAAAGTGAATTCTCCTGTAAAACAGCTTGTGTCAGTCTGTTAAACAGCCCATAATGGGGCCTATGTGCTTGGCCTGCACACTGATAAGTCAGAAATCAGAGGAGCAAAGTTATGCTTTGCTTAAAAAAAAAAAAACAAGAAATTGCAGACACCATATGATATAGCTGAACACTAATGACGCTTGGCCTAAAAGGTCAGTTAAGAAACAATCATGAACCCTGACAAGGTCACAGACTCATTGATTATTAATTGTTTCCTTTGTTTTCCTTCTTTTCTCCTTTAACACCTTGTCATTTTAAAATCCAAGCAAATTAAAAGATTTTCCTGAAGAATTCCTACTTAACAAACAACAAATGTAACATCATATCACTTGAATATTTTAATGTACTTTGTCTTAAACTTTACAGACTATTTACATCTTTAAATCATGTTAAAATAATGGGAACAAAGACAAACAAACAAAAACGGTACACGTTCTACACTTACAGGAGGTTTTTATTTATTCATTTGTACAAAGTGTCTGTCATTCACCTATTTACAGACAGTAAACACTTAATGTTACATATGAAGCCTTTTTATCACCCAGAGAACTCAGTGATCTTTACAGATATTGAGCTAAAATTTGTGGTGGTGGGAGTTTTCAGCACATACTCTGAGCATTAACACTTCTTCCAAAACCTCATTTAAGATGATATAATTTACAAGTTTGACTAAAATGGGAGAAGGGAGTCTCYGCAGTCACAAAGTGAGAGGTTCTTCAGGTGTGGGTGGAGTTTGGGAAAGACATTTGTTCAGATTGACTAGTTTGGGTGAGATTTGAAGGAGCCATTACGAATCAGTTGGATCAACATTGGGATATGGGGACGTGTAACAATTCGGCTTGGTTGAAACGGTCAGAAAGYGCATATAAAAAGATGGGTACATTTTAAAATTAGAATTAATTTATATGAATATTAATACCAGTTATAACTCAAGACAGGAAGGTGCTAGCTGCATGAAATTTCAATGCTGTACATGTGGAGGGATGTATAGCAATTTGGATYGGTGAAAACACTCCTAACCGGCCTGAAAACAAATCTCTAATTTTGAACATAAATATTAGTAATAACTCAAAACAGGAAGGTGGTATTTKCACCAAAYTTGAAGTCAATAAATTATATTTACATTTTCACAATAATTTTGCCATTATTTCAACCTTTAATTTGCCTCACAAGTCAGCCTGACCACAGTTTTTCCAAACTCTGCCCACACAGCCAAGAAACTCCCCTTATGTACTACAGAGACCCCAACTTACAAACTGGCTCTATAACCCTGTCCTCTCTCATAACAAGATGAATTCATTTTAAAAGTCTGGAATCAAAAGTGGCAGGCAATATTTGGATTTTTTTTCAAGAAATACCAGGCTTTTACTGTTTAGCTTATCAGGGACAATATCTTATCTTACCATAAACAAAACTGAAGCCTCCATCTTCTAAATGAAAGAAGGTCGTTCTACCAACAGAGAGTGGCCACAGTTTGGTGCTAACATGTCTTAGAAAGCACAAGTTTGACCAGTTGTGAGTAAAGTTCTTCCCTCTCTGTAAACTCTTCTTTCTTTAGTTAGATATCCACCACACAGCCTGAAGCGCTGGCTCTTATCGCATCAGATATGACCTTCGCTCCAGATTCTCCAATGCCATTTCCCTGCAAACTGCAGAGAACAACACCGATTTATTGCACGCATATTCAAAAACTGACAGATGAACAAATATGTAGCAAACAAAAGACAAACGAAAAACACACTTGATGTATGTTAATTGATGGTTTCCCTTTAAAGCTGTTGCGATGAAGATGGCTCCATCCATACCCAGAGAGTTTTCCTGCAGACTGGTAAAACACAATCACTGTTTTTAGTTTGTCACATGTCAAGGTTATTTGTTTGTATGTGTTCATTCGGGTGAACAGTGCAAGCTACCTGCCGCTTTATGAAAAAAAAAAACATTTTTATCTGTTTTTTCAAATCTGACAATAATAACAGGTTGAACAAAACCAGATAGCAGAATAATAGGAAACTGTAAACAAAAACAGCATTACTCTCAGTGCTGTGGATCTTTGGTATTATAAAGTATAATGTCAGCTTAGATTTCATTATAAAATTGGAAGAAGAAAAAAAAAGAAAAACCCATTAAAATAAACAAATATGTGATCCTGGTAAACTTAAATTAAACCAAGAAAAAAAATGAAGCATGAGTTTTGTTCCTGGGGTGTGACAGTTAGCTACAGTCAGGCCTTACTTTAATGATTGAAGGCTACTGTTGCATTTCAAGGCATTGGCCAGGGCCTTTGCTCCCTCCATCCCTACAGAATTCCCACGCAGACTGAAAAAAATAAAATCCAGAAAAAAACACTAAAAGTTTAGAAACACAACTGAAATAGAAGAAGCTTTTCAATTCATTTTTTAATTACATTTATACGTAACACAAAAAGTAGGGAAATTCATGTTTGGTAGATTATTTCTTTGTTGCTTGGTAATAAATCCTATAACGGGCACCCAGTCGGCAGCACCAGAAGCTCAAAACAAGAGTCAATAGCAACAGCAAAATAAGCTGTTTGGCAGAGAAGAATTGGAAATATTTCAGTTGTGCAACCCACATACTCAGCTCTACTGCTCAACCCACAAATGCATGTTCCTTACAAATGTGGCACCATTTAAAACAGGCATTCCAACTGTATAATATTTATTACTAAGAAGTATTGTTATAACAAAGAAATAATCTACCAAACACAAATGTCCTTAAAATCCCAATTAAAATGAAGCTGGGATGCTGTGTAAAACAAAAATAAAAACAGAGCATAATGATTTGCAAATCTGTTTAAACCTATATTCAATTGAATACACAACAAAAACAAGATATTTAATGTTCAAATGGATAAACTTTACTATTATTTTTCAAATTTTTGTAACTCATTTTGAATTTGATGCCTGCAACACATTCCAAAAAGAAATCTAGAACAGGGTCAACAAAAGACTTCAAAGGACACCGGTTTGGAGCAGTCCACAGGCAAACAGGTTAATTGCAAACAGGTGAGTGTCATGATTAGGTATTTAGGGAGCATCCCTGAAAGGCTCAGTTGTTCACAAGCAAAAATGGGGCGAGGTTCACCACTTCATTAACAACTGCAGGAGCAAATAGTCCAAAAAAATTTAAGAACATTTCCCAATGTACACTTTCAAGAAAATTAGATATTTCATCATCCACAGTCCATAATATCAAAAAATTCAGATAATCTGGATAAATCTCTACAAGTACTGTAAGTGGCAAAGCTGAAAACCAACACTGAATGCCCGTGACCTTCAATCCATCAGGCAGCACTGCATTATAAAACCAAATCATTCTGTTCCACATGGGCTCAGGAACACTTCAGAAAACCATTGTCCGTGAACACAGTTTGTCTCTACATCTACAACTGCAAGATAAAACTCTACCATGCAACGCCAAAGCCATCAACAACACCCAGAAACAACGCCAGCTTCTCTGGACCTGAGCTCATCCAGAGACACGGGTCCACCTACAAAGTGGAAAAGTGTCCTGTGGTCTGACGAGTTCACATTTCAAACTGTTTTTGAAAATCATAGATGGTGTGTCCTCTGAGGAAAAGGACTGTCCGGATTGTTCTCAGCACTGTTCAAAAGTTCAAAAGCCAGCCTCTCTGATGATATGGGGGTGTATTTTTGCCCATGTCATTGATAACTGTCACATCTGTGAAGGCACCATTAACACTGAAAGTTACATACAGGTTTTRGAGCAACATATGCTGCCATCCAAGCCACGTCTTTTTTCAGGGACATCCTGCTTATTTCAGCAAGACAATACCAAGTCTCACTCTGCACGTGTTACAACAGTGTGGCTTCGTAGTAAATGAGTGCAGGTACTAGACTGGTCTACCTGCAGTCCAGACCTGTCTCCTATTGAAAATACGTGGCACATTGTGAAGCAAAAAATACATCAACAAAAACCTCGGACAGATGAGCAACTGAAGTTGTTCATCAAGAAAGAATGGGAAAGAATTCCAGCAACAAAACTTCAACAATTAATGTCGTCAGTTCTCAAACTCTTATTGAGTGTTCATAAAAGGAAAGGTGATGTAACACAGTGGTAAATATGACCCATTACCAGCTGTTTTGGAACGTGTTGCAGGCATCAAATTCAAAATGAGTGAATAACTGCAACAAAAAACAACAAACAAACAAACAAACAAACAAACAAACAAACAAACAAACAAACAAACAAACAAACAAACAAACAAACAAAAAACCCAATAATGTTTATCTGTTTGAACAATAAATATCTTGTCTTTGTAGTCTATACATTTTAATATACGTTGTAAAGGATTTGCAAATTATCAAAGATGACTCTCAATAATTCTGCTAAAATAAAATAGACATCATGCAAATGCTTCATAAAAGTCCACTAAGACTGATTGTCAACGACTGAAAAGTGTAAAAACAAGCAAGAGACTTTGGACTCACTCTAAAGTTTGCAAAGTTTGATTGGCCACCAGAGCTTCTGCCATGGCAATAGCACCACTCTTCCCTGCTGAAACTCCCTGCAGGCTAAACAAACAGCACAAAATAAAACATGTCATGTGAAGGAGAGAAAAAAAACAAGAAGTAATTTCATAACTTTGTGCTTATTTGCATCTGAGAAAAATTTCAACGTCATTATTATTCATAGACACCAACCATAGGGTTCGCAGAGACTTGTTGATTTTCAGAGCTTCTGCGAGAAAAATGACACCTTCGTTCCCGATAGCATTTTCTTGTAGACTGCAGCGAAATATGAAGACAAAAAAGTACTCAAAGTGCTGGCTGCTGTGAGGAACTACTCAGCCTTATTTGTTCAATATCACAAAGCAGCAAAAATAAAACCGTCATTCCTCAGTAATTAGCTGTAGTTAATTAGGATCAGAATCCACTTAAAAGTTCATGACAGATTGATATAAATAGAGACAAGCTGCAGTGTGTGGGCTGGAGGTGAGTGAACAGGGGAATAATAATGTGTGTCTCACTCCAGCAGCTGGATTTTGGTGTTGGAGAGAAGGGCTTGAGCTAGAGCTTTAGTGGCTGTAGACTTGATGAAATTCCACTGGAGGCTGAAAAAATAAAAAGGGGGAAAAATATATATAAACAGGGTCAGACATACCAGAATAAAACACAAAAAACAACTCTGATTTGACATGCATCTCCGTTTTCTTTATTTCAGATGAAATTTAGTTGTTTATTGGCAGTATGTGTGAGCAAAATAACTAAGTTTACAGCATGTATGCAAAACCTGTATTTAAATATTTATTATTTAGGCAAGCAATAATGTGACTGCTTGTGCAATGAAATRATGAAGTAATTAAAGTAATTTATTGTACATCTGCTACTAATTATGCTTTGGTGATAAGCTGAGAGTCATCCCCAACACATGTTATAAAGGCTTATAGATAATGTGACATCTTTGATGGCATGCAATGCAAGCTTTTAATTTATTTTATTTTGAAATTCTGGGGTATGTGTGGAAAATGATAACTGGAATCTTTTCAGTTTCTGCAGATATACATAAAAACTATTTTTGCATTCAAATAGAGTCCCATAGATATCTGAAAATCGTGTTTGTAATTTATTGTTTATCACTACCAGGATTTTATTATAACGTGTGGTGCTGTAAAACAAAACAGGYCAATTTATACACAAGAAAAATGAAAATGCTGCTGCTACTTAATAAATGAAAACTGTTCAAACTGAACTACAACTTTACTTAAAAATGTGAAATGCATCTTATTGGAAATCCACTTACTGCAGAGAGGTCAGGCCCTGATTGAACTTGAGCGCTCCAGCTATCGCTTGAACCCCGTCATCGTGCAACAGGTTCGCTGCGAGACTGTGACACAGACTGAGTCATAAATGATGCAACAAACAATGACAAGCATTAGACAAACATACAGCGGGTAAAATAAGTATTGAACACGTCACCATTTTTCTCAGTAAATATATTACTAGACGTACTAACGACATGAAATTTTCACCAGATGTCGGTAACAACCCAAGTGATCCATACGTAC